GGTGCCAGACCGAATTTCCTGAAGCTGTTCTTCACTCATCCTGTGCTGACTCTCCGGTGCCTGTTTGGCCCTCATGTGCCGTATGTGTATCGCTTGACAGGTCCCGGAAAGACAGAGGAAGCCAAGAAGGCAATCAACACAGTTTGGGAGCGTGTCCTGGCGCCGACAGTGACAAGACGCGTGGAAGTAAAACGTGAATCTTCTCCGCTGGCCTTCCAATTTCTTTGTCTGTCCATAGTTGCGTCAGTAACTGCCATATTATTTGTTCAGTTCTGGTGAATAAAATTACTGCCCTTGTAACGTAAGTGCCAGAAAAGGGTGTTTATTGCCAACATGCTCAAGTGTAAGAATCATTTGTCATCGAGCATATTATTACATGTAAATTGCAAAAGGAATATGTAAACAAGTTTGATTAAATGGCTTTAATTTGGGCAAATCGTAATTTTTTCCTCTCTATTATTTGATACAATATATCACTTTTTGGGCTATTAGACCTGTAACTTATATTGGTTATTCTTATTACTAAGACACTTTACCCATTCCTTTTGGTCGTGTGCCGGTCTTAAACGGATGATAGACATGACTGGCTGGTCTTAAACGCTTTTTCAGTGTCGCATGAAATTCGGACTATCAAATCCTGTGTCTTTTACCATTTTTTAATATTGTTTGAACATTCACAATCCTCTCGTAGGCATGCGCAATAGTTTTTTTTCTTCAATACTACCAGTTTTGACTTTTTGACTCATCCAGAGTCCAACCCGGTGTTAAACATAGTGATTGAAAACCAGCCAATCACACACATATTCCCTAATTCGACGTAGAAATCATTCGCAGTAGTTTTCAAACGGACTCTATGAATGTTTTGTACATGTATGTGTTTACATTATTCATAACAGTAATTGAGTACCGTGTAAAGCATGTATTTTGCCTTTTTTGTTGTTGGACTGATTGATTCAAATCCACTCTTTAATATGTTATGCCTATATTACGCTAGCTTTTGTATACTGTTGCTGCTTATAAAAAATATTGTACAATGTGATATGAGATTAAGCTTTACAAGTACATGTATATTGATTTTCCTCACCCTACAATAGACATTCCATTTTGTTCAGATATTCCGTTCTCTTGTACTAGAAGTTGATCATAACACCATGCTTACACTCCATAGGATCTGAATCGGCAGCAGATCACGCTTCCGAAATAACATTTCTGCGGAATACCAAAAAATGGGGAAAATAAATATTTCTAAAACTAGGAGAAGTGTATCTTTCCACGAATCTGCAGCTTATTCTGTGAATGGCACATGTACTGTAGCTGATAATATGTAGTTTATCAAAATCCGATATACATGTACATGTAAGAACAGAGGGCTGTTTTGGACAATTTGAAACTCGTCCTAAAACTCCAGGGCTTGATTTGTGCTGAAGAAATTGAGAGGATAACTGAATTTGGAAAGAAAACAACACCCATCATTCCGACTAATTATTGCGCCGACAATGAATGTATTTTATGGAAACTAATGCCATGATATCTCAAAGTAACAATTTGGGAATATTTAACATGTTTAAAGCAGTTACACATGTACAAGTACAATAAAACAGAAAAGTTTAACCCTAACTCCCTACATGATTTACTAGGAAGCATACCCATGCTGGCAAATTCCAACACCATACATGTATGGGAAACTGCACACACACACATATTTCTGACTTTGATTCTGGAGGTGTGCCAGCCCAATGTAAAAGACTGTCAGTTTAGGGGTACTGTACCCATCCTGACAGATTCCAACAAAACATGTCATTTGGCTTGATGGGTTGAGTTCTGTTAAAGGAAATGTACAACATTTGCTTTTGCTGCAATTTTCAGAAATCAATGGATTTGGAGGATTAGTATGTTATAGCAAACATTGTTTAACTGACTTGTTTCACGTTTTGGGCCTGTAGATCCTGGAAAAACCAAGAAAACCAATCGTATTCTTCTAGTCTTGTTCCCTGACCCCACTTAAGATAAAACAGAGCAATTTATAGAATTTGGGGAATTGTTAGGTCAGGAAATCGGTCTAGCAGGCTTGTTCCCCTTCACGGGTGTGTAATCAACTGAAAAGAAAATGCGAAATAACTAAATATGAAAACTTAGGAGCAGTTTTTGAAAAACCGACCATTGTTGGAAAAATGCAAGTCTTTCTCTAACAATCCAGCAAGTTATTTCGTGATAATTTGATCATTTCCTTTTTTGATGTTTGCAAATGTTGTATCTTCCCTTTAATGTGGTAAAACTTAACAGAAAGAGTCATTGTAGGTCAGTAATAAAGGATGATCTGGCCACTAATCTTTACACTATGTATTATAATCTGCAGAACTTTGTGTACACATTGTACACTGGTAAGTGGCATATAATGGTCAAAATAAATTTCTATAAAAACTGAATGCGAAAGCTCAAACTAAAGGTTCACGCTTGTTACGTTACCAACGCAGACTTGTCATGCAGACAATTATCTTATTAGGCACTGCCCAGTTCAACATACAAGTAGTTAAGTTGTGAATCCATGTATGTACTTGTGTCACAACAGAAAAAAAAATCACAAAACCTAATAGCGTCCGCAGTACAACAATTTGCTTTGTTTTGGCCAAAATTATCTGTTAGTGTTCGCAGGCAATGTAACTCACTAAACCCCTTACCACAAACGGCACATACAGTTGGTCCTTGCTATTGTGAATGGTTTTATGGCGTTTATCATTTGAGATCTGCAGTTGTTTCAATGTTTTGATTAGTGCCATTTGTACTGTGCCAGTTACTTCAGTCCCCAGCAAATACGCAGGTCGTGTTCGTTGTTATTTCTTCAAGTTAATTTCTTGTAGCCACGCCCTGTGTTGTTTGCCTATGTATTTTCTTATTTTCATTAATTAAAAACAAACATGTTTTTTTTTTGTCTGGGCCCTTCGAATATCATCGCTGTGGGCCCTATCTTTGTTGGTGCCATTTTGGGGAAATTGTTTTAACGCTACCCCGTTTGGGTGCCCCCCCCCCCCCGCCACATATTCCGACTGGGGAAAGATGTCGAGCGCCCCCGTAAAATGAGCCCCCGTCTCCTGACTCTGCCTATGGGACGGCACCATGATAGTAAGCCATGAGCACACTTTTCAAACAAACGTTTTCAATAAGCATTTTTTATTAACAATTTGAACAGAAACCTATCACGGAAGCGTCTTCCTATCACACTCGCAGCAACAGCGCCATCAGAATTGTGTCAGGAAAAACCATGCAACATTAATTTGTTTAGTGTACTTTTCAATAAAATAAACCAAAAAGGGATGTCAAATACTTTTCATAAATTTAAGAGCAGACATTTGAGCACAATATGTTTCTAAGTAAAATTCACGTCCCTTTACATTTTTTTCTGTACAAAAATGTACGTGGAATTATGCATTTCGTAAGAATAATATATTTTTGCATATCAGGATCCACTTAAAACAAACATGTTCAAGTGACCAACTACACTGCAAGCAGGGAATCCAATGTGGCCGTCATTGGCGCGAAAAAAAAATTATTTTGATACTTTCCGCCTTTGTTTTTTGGGGGGATTTCTTGACAGTAATTCATAAAAGAAAAGAAAATACTATATTTAAAATTTTATTTTTTTTCATTTTTTTAATTGCTGTTTTTTTATTTTTTCATTTTTTTAATTGCTGTTTTTTTCTCTTACTATTTTTAAATGTTTTTATTTCTTATCACAGGATCATAATGTAAAACAGCCTTTGAGCTGATATTTTGTATCCTGTATAAAGATTTTGAAATAAATAAATAAATAAATAAATAAATAAATAAAATGGTATATTGTACATTCACGTGAAATTTGTGAAATCGGCCGTTGCGCGTATATGGAAATTAGGATCGCCCTCCCGAGAAGGGTTAGCGGTTGGTGAAATGGAGGTCGCCGGTATCTCAACATGTTTTAACTGTTATATTATCTCAATGACAACAAGTTTTTGTGATAATCACTGCTATCGTGTTGGCCTACTCAAAGCAGTTCAGGTTCTCCAGCATTATTCACAGCGCGACTGTATTAATACATTTCAACAACACGATCAACGTTATCAAACGCTCGGGTAAATAATTGATAGCGTATATAACTCAAGCGTAAACAGCTATCTTGATCCAAACTGCTTTCCAAATACGTACGGAACTTTTAAATTTAATTCGCAGATTATTAAGTTGACAGCTTTCAACTAAATTTATTTCAAGATCTTTCGTGCATGTTATTATCTTGTTGCCGCTTGAAACTTTCATATCCACTATATATCTCTACCAAAAAAACCCATTATTATAAAATAGATTCTAATTCGGTGCGATAAAGGCTTTCTTTGTTAAATAATGTCCTTGTATAAATGCATATGATGTGCCACGACGACCATGGTGACCGTTTTAGCCGATTTTCAGCTAACTTTGACATATTTTTTGTTAAAAAACGAGTTGAACAGAAAATTTGACAGAATGGATTTTTTTTCGGCAGATTTCTGGCAGAATTCTACAAAAAATATTATTTGACAGAAAAACATTTTGTTTAAAAAATCTAAATCTTTTCAAAAATCCCTTGCATAATGGGACAGGTTGGCTGGTCTAGGTGCTGAGGTTAACTGGGAACCGGACTGCGTCGTGAGGCAACCGCGTTTTGCCTGAAATTTATGCAATTTCATAACATCTTTATATGTGACTATATATATATATTGTTTATAATGTAATTTGAACCTTAATTAAGGCAACACTACAACATCTGCATGTGATTTTAAGTGTTTAGTGTATTTCGAGAAATTCTGGGGAATTTGGCAGATTTTTGATAAATCTGACAGATTTTCGAACTGCGTTGAGCAGAATTTGGCCATGAACTTACGGTCACCCTGACGACGACCGATTAGCGATCAAGGGCAAAAGTGTATGCGCTTTATAGCAACTTCACCTTCGGCCTTACACGTCGATGGTTGAAAAGGCCATTGTACAAGTAGTGACCGTGTGTGTCGATCTTTTATGTACAGAGGACATACCTATATATACTTTGGTTTACCTCTGTACCAAGTTCTGCCAATGCCTGTAGATACGCGTACAAGGCTACAGTATAGTAATAAGGTGTATAATCCGTTAAAAACTCTAACGAGACGAGTATTGTTGCCTGTCTACGGTGCATTTTTCATCAGTCTCGAATTCGAAAAAGTAAGTGTTTTTGCGGTGCAGTGCTTTTCAATTAATTTACTTGCGAGTTAGTACTTTTTTGGCTTTCCAATCTTGATGGCATTACTACTAGGTTGCAAGATGAAACTCTTTAGCCGACCCCAGACTGGATTTAAATTGATTTGATTCCCCTTGCTACAGCTGATCCGTGACAAATGAGGTATCTATCAACAACATGAAACAAATCCAGTCTGGCAATATTGGCAGCGCTACCCAGGATATTCCAAGTACATGTATACCTTATATCGATCTGTATTTAAGATAATGTATGAGCGTGATTGGAATTTCCGGGTAGCGCTGCCAATATTGCAAACACTGGATTTGATTCATCCTCTTGATAAAAACCTCTACCTCAGGTTGTCAACTTAACTGTGTTTGTCACTCACGGGACTGGCTGCAAAATACAAGAATAAAATACTAACCCCGTGATGACATTTTTATCTGTGGGCTGACGGGCAACACATTAAACATGTGAAAAGAGAATTAAGTTGTGTGTGCGTTGGGGGATATGCATGGACGACAACCAAAACAAACTTACAAATACAATACAACATGTACTGTAGACCTATAACCTAAGGGAAAGTCCTCGTTTTGCTGTTTGACTGCTGAGTGCACAACTCATAGGAAAGTTGATGCATATAAAAGTTATGGTCCAAACAATAGACGCAAGCAAATTAGACGACAAGTACTTAGCGTTAGTGTAAGCCCAGCATCGTAAGAATTGGACAATCACTACCGTTCATAAAAGAAAACAAAACAGTCATTATTATCTTGTTTGCATTACCACCAGGTTGCGAGCTGAAAACTCTTCAGCCGACTCTACCGGTAGTTTTCAATGTTGGGCAAACCGACCCAAGATTTCCTTTTAATTGATGTTATTCCCCTTGCTACAGTAGTCCGAGTATCACCCGTTATATCCACGGAGGCGGAGCCAAATCCTGTATAACGTATGACATCTCCTGACATGCAAATTTATGGAAGCAGCGCGCCAGCCAATGGTTTGATTGGTCAATTCGAATGCAGTGTTTCGTAATACAACAGCAGCCGGGCGTGATATCGCATAACATGATACAGAGCGCGTGACACATTTTTTTTGTAGCCATTGTCTATGACGCACACAAGGGAATGACCGAAGACCCGGTATAGAAAGCGCTCACTAATAGGTCAAAATCTCGGAGGTCAAGAGGCGGGGTCTTGCCTAATTAATCAGCGAATCTGTTCGTGCGAAATAGACCACGGCATTCCTATTACATAGACTATTGCTACAGCTGATCCGTGACAAATGAGGTGACTATCAACTAGATGAATCAAATTCAGTCTTGGCAAATTGGCAGCGCTACCCATATTCCAAGTATACCTCATACCGATCTGCACTCGAGCTTATGCATGAGCGTGAGGTACGCTCAGAATTTCCCGGGTAGGGCTGCCAATATTGCCAACACTGGATGTGATTCAACTTTTTGATAAAAACCTCAACCTCAGGTCGTCAACTTAACTGTGTTTGTCACTCACGGGACTGGCTGTAAAATACTAACCCGTGATGACATTGTTAATGTTTGGGCTGACGGGCAACATATGAAACGTAAAAAGAGAATTAAGTTGTCAGTGTTGAGGAGATATAGACGACAACCAAATCAAAATTACAAACACAAAACAACTATGTAGGCCTATAAGGGAAAGTCTTCGTTTCGCTACCGTTCATAAAAGAAAAACCTCATGAAAACGTACTGGCTTTATGTTTATAGGTTATGGAGATAACAAGCAAAACAGTTGCCATAATTGGGTGCGGAGTGTCTGGCCTTGCGGCAGTTAAATGTTGCCTGGACGAAGGCCTTCAACCAACTTGCATTGAGAGGGCAGATGACATAGGCGGTCTCTGGTACTACCGCGACAACAGTGAACACCAGGCGATGACCACGGTCTACAAATCGACTATCACCACAGGCAACAAAGAGGGCATGTGCTACAGCGACTTCCCCTTTCCCAAGGAGTGGCCGAATAGTCTGCGTCACAGCTATGTAAAGAAGTACTGCGACATGTATGCCGACAAGTTTGGTCTCAATGAGCACATCCGCTTCTCTACCAGAGTGACTCGCTTGGCTCAGGCCCCAGATTACGAGACTACTGGGCGATGGGTTGTCACTACTCAACCAGAGGGATCGGCTGGGTCCGAGGAGACAAGCCAGGAGTTTGATGCTGTAATGATCTGCACTGGGATGTTCAACAACCCCCACATCCCAGACTTCCCAGGTCTTGATGTGTTCCAGGGGAAGGTAATACATAGCCAGGCTTACCGGACGCCAGATGAGTATAAAGACAAACGAGTGGTGGTGGTTGGGATTGGTAATTCGGGAGGAGATGCAGCTACGGATGTCAGCCGTCTAGCATCTCAGGTAGGAGAAATTCAAATAACCTCGCTTGTATCATGAAGCTAGAACAAGACTATCGGCCTCACATGCATGTATTACCCATAGAAAAGTCATGCAAATGTACGTCTAAATGCTTAAGCTTCATAGCTTTGAAACACAAACCAAAATATTGTTTCTCTGTTCGTTAGTTACAGCTTATAAGCTAAACTAAAAGCTTGGCATAAAACTCATATAACCTCGCTATCATGAGGCCGAAGACTCACATTCATGTTTTACATTTACAGAAGTCATGAACGTCTAATGGCGAAGCTTCATAGCTTTGGAACGCCAACCAAAATGTTATTTTTCTATTAATTTACAGCTTTTAAAAGCTTAACAAAAAGCTGGGCATAAAACTTCTAACGTCGCTGCCTCGCAAACCATAGGCTCACTCAACCTTCGAATACGTTTTTGGTCTTGACAGGTGTACTTGAGTTGCAGGCGTGGAGTTTGGCTTACCGGTCGAAGAGGGGATAACGGCTACCCTTTCGACCTGGAAGTAATTCGTCGATACTACTGGATCCCTTTAAAGTTAAAAATGATGCTCTTGAAGAAATCAATAGAGCGTCGAAACAAATTTGCCATGGCATCACTGCAACCTTCCCACGATCTCTTGGCTTGTGAGCCGCAGATGAGTGAGCAGCTACCCGATTGTATCATGAACGGGTCTGTCGTTATCAGAGCAGGCCCAGCAAGGTTCATCAAGACGGGTCTTGAGTTTGAAGATGGCACCTTCGAGGATGACATTGATGCTGTCATCATGGCGTCTGGGTACCGCTTCAAGATTCCATTTGAGGTGGACTGCCCTGCATTGGAGATGAAGGATGGTTCAGTTCCCCTCTACAAGCTTGTCTTCCCTCTTGGGCTGAAACACAACACTCTCTCATTTAGCGGGGCAATGGAAGTTCTCGGTGCTGTCATCCCATGCGTGGAGCTGCAGGCTCGCTGGGCTGCGAGGGTCTTCAAAGGGTTGGCCAAGCTTCCATCCCAGCTCGAGATGCAGGCTGAGGTGACGATGACTGATGAGTTGATGAAGAAGAGCTTTCTACCCCCTCATCGACACGTTGGCGCTGTAGCTTACGGAGACAGTATCGCTACTGAAATTGGTGCCAGACCGAATTTCCTGAAGCTGTTCTTCACTCATCCTGTGCTGACTCTCCGGTGCCTGTTTGGCCCTCATGTGCCGTATGTGTATCGCTTGACAGGTCCCGGAAAGACAGAGGAAGCCAAGAAGGCAATCAACACAGTTTGGGAGCGTGTCCTGGCGCCGACAGTGACAAGACGCGTGGAAGTAAAACGTGAATCTTCTCCGCTGGCCTTCCAATTTCTTTGTCTGTCCATAGTTGCGTCAGTAACTGCCATATTATTTGTTCAGTTCTGGTGAATAAAATTACTGCCCTTGTAACGTAAGTGCCAGAAAAGGGTGTTTATTGCCAACATGCTCAAGTGTAAGAATCATTTGTCATCGAGCATATTATTACATGTAAATTGCAAAAGGAATATGTAAACAAGTTTGATTAAATGGCTTTAATTTGGGCAAATCGTAATTTTTTCCTCTCTATTATTTGATACAATATATCACTTTTTGGGCTATTAGACCTGTAACTTATATTGGTTATTCTTATTACTAAGACACTTTACCCATTCCTTTTGGTCGTGTGCCGGTCTTAAACGGATGATAGACATGACTGGCTGGTCTTAAACGCTTTTTCAGTGTCGCATGAAATTCGGACTATCAAATCCTGTGTCTTTTACCATTTTTTAATATTGTTTGAACATTCACAATCCTCTCGTAGGCATGCGCAATAGTTTTTTTTCTTCAATACTACCAGTTTTGACTTTTTGACTCATCCAGAGTCCAACCCGGTGTTAAACATAGTGATTGAAAACCAGCCAATCACACACATATTCCCTAATTCGACGTAGAAATCATTCGCAGTAGTTTTCAAACGGACTCTATGAATGTTTTGTACATGTATGTGTTTACATTATTCATAACAGTAATTGAGTACCGTGTAAAGCATGTATTTTGCCTTTTTTGTTGTTGGACTGATTGATTCAAATCCACTCTTTAATATGTTATGCCTATATTACGCTAGCTTTTGTATACTGTTGCTGCTTATAAAAAATATTGTACAATGTGATATGAGATTAAGCTTTACAAGTACATGTATATTGATTTTCCTCACCCTACAATAGACATTCCATTTTGTTCAGATATTCCGTTCTCTTGTACTAGAAGTTGATCATAACACCATGCTTACACTCCATAGGATATCTGAATCGGCAGCAGATCACGCTTCCGAAATAACATTTCTGCGGAATACCAAAAAATGGGGAAAATAAATATTTCTAAAACTAGGAGAAGTGTATCTTTCCACGAATCTGCAGCTTATTCCGTGAATGGCACATGTACTGTAGCTGATAATATGTAGTTTATCAAAATCCGATATACATGTACATGTAAGAACAGAGGGCTGTTTTGGACAAATTGAAACTCGTCCTAAAACTCCAGGGCTTGATTTGTGCTGAAGAAATTGAGAGGATAACTGAATTTGGAAAGAAAACAACACCCATCATTCCGACTAATTATTGCGCCGACAATGAATGTATTTTATGGAAACTAATGCCATGATATTCAAAGTTACAATTTGGGAATATTTAACATGTTTAAAGCAGTTACACATGTACAAGTACAATAAAACAGAAAAGTTTAACCCTAAAGGGGCCGGGTTATTTTGACCATCTCTCAGCCGGGGGGGGGGGGCGGATTCCGCCCCCCTAAGATCTCGGCCATCGAGCGACGAAACATTTTGAAACTCAGCACATGCATAGAGCAACTCTTCCTAAACATGCCCAAGAAATTTCATGACTATAGGTCAAAGGGTTTTGGAATTATGGCTAATTAATTATTCATATGTATGAATGGCAATTCTGCTCGGTGTACACGACGTATATGCGAAAATTCAGTTTTCACGGCGCGTAGCGCCGGAAAATTTTTCGCTACGGGCCAACCCGTGGTCCGATTTTTATGTTTTTGGTATCAAAAGATGCGCAAGGCTCGAGGCTAAAAAGTCATACCAGCTCGGGTCGCGAAAATTTTTTTTGTAGAAGCTATCGTGGAAAATGTTGAGGGGGGGGGGGGGGCGGATTCCGCCCCCCCCCGGCCCCTTTAGGGTTAACCCTAACTCCCTACATGATTTACTAGGAAGCATACCCTTCCTGGCAAATTCTAACACCATACATGACTTGTATGGGAAACTGCACACACACATATTTCTGAGTTTGATTCTGGAGGTGTGCCAGCCCAATGTAAAAGACTGTCAGTTTAGGGGTACTGTACCCATCCTGACAGATTCCAACAAAACATGTCATTGGGCTTGATGGGTTGAGTTCTGTTAAAGGAAATGTACAACATTTGCTTTTGCTGCAATTTTCAGAAATAAATGGATTTGGAGGATTAGTGTGTTATAGCAAACATTGTTTAACTGACTTGTTTCACGTTTTGGGCTTGTAGATGCTGGAAAAACCAAGAAAACCAATCGTATATTCTTCTAGTCTGGTTCCCTGACCCCACTTAAGATAAAGCAGAGCAATTTATAGAATTTGGGGAATCGTTAGGTCAGGAAATCGGTCTAGCAGGCTTGTACCCCTTCACGCGTGTGTAATCAACTGAAAAGAAAATGCGAAATAACTAAATATGAAAACTTAGGAGCAGATTTGGAAGAAAAAAACCCAGGTTTCTTCAACGCTGGTCGGCTGACCATTGTTGGAAAAATGCAACTTTTCTTGAATATGTCAGCACACCTGGAGCCACGATTTTACAGGATGCTTTATAGGCTGTCTTTCTCTAACAATCCAGCAAGTTATTTCGTGATAATTTGATCATTTCCTTTTTTGATGTTTGCAAATGTTGTATCTTCCCTTTAATGTGGTAAAACTTAACAGAAAGAGTCATTGTAGGTCAGTAATAAAGGATGAACTATCTCGCCACTAATCTTATCACTATGTATTATATTCTGCAGAACTTTGTGTATACACATTGTACACTGGTAAGTGGCATATAATGGTCAAAATAAATTTCTAAAAACTGATAATGCAAAAGCTCAAACTAAAGGTTCACGCTTGTTAAGTTACCAACGCAGACTTGTCATGCAGACAATTATCTGATTAGGCACTGCCCAGTTCGACATACAAGTAGTTAAGTTGTGAATACATGTATGTACTTGTGTCACAACAGAACAAAAGATCACGAAACCTAATAGCCTCCGCAGTACAACAATTTGCTTTGTTTTGGCAAAAATTATCTGTTAGTGTTCGCAGGCAAGGGCGGATGCAGGGGGGGGGGGCAAAGGGGGCCTTGCCCCCCCCCAAACGAAACAATTTTTAAATTTTTTTATGAGACATCGCAATAAAGGCAGGCAATGAGTACACCACCATCTAAAGCTAAAGTGGCCAGAAATTGCCTCAGATCGCACCACAGAGCATCTAGAATCCAAAAAATTTGTTTTACCCACTTTTTTGGGGACCATTTTTTTTTGGGCCCCCCCGAAAATTGTGTTCTGGATCCGCCCTTGTTCGCAGGCAATGTAACTTACTAAACCCCTTACCATAAACGCCACAAACAGTTGGTCCTTGCTATTGTGAATGGTTTTATGGCGTTTGTAATTTGAGATCTGCAGTTGTTTCAATGTTTTGATTAGTGCCATTTGTACTGTGCCAGTTACTTCAGTCCCAAGCAAATACGCAGGTCGTGTTCGTTGTTATTTCTTCAAGGTAATTTCTTGTAGCCACGCCCTGTGTTGTTTGTCTATGTATTTTCTTATTTGCATTAATTAAAAAAACATGTTTTTTTTGTCTGGGCCCTTCGAATATCATCGCTGTGGGCCCTATCTTTGTTGGTGCCAGTTTGGGGAAATTGTTTTAACGCTACCCCGTTTGAGTGCCCCCCGCCACATATTCCGACTGGGGAAAGATGTCGAGCGCCCCCGTAAAATGAGCCCGGTCTCCTGACTCTGCCTATGGGACGGCACCATGATAGTGTGGCGGGGATCTCCCCGGGCCAAACCTAAGTTCGTTGGGACCAAGTCTGACACCTATTAGAGTGTAGCTGATCTTCCCGAACGCAAGCTTTCCCGAGACGAGAGACCACTCAGAGCGACCTCAAGGCCTAGGGAGCAGGTCCGTTTTGGAGGAAATATACCGCCGATTATGATGATTGTGATTACCCACTGTTAAGTGCACAATAAACCACAACAAATACACATGGACAACAGGAATGTCGGCACCACAAATATAATCGTACTTTATTATACAATAATCAAGAAATATGCAGTAGTGATTGAGTTTTGATGGGGTTGTTAATTATCAGGGTCACTTAATTACACTTGGGAGTTAACTGACAGCTTCAACCAAGCAGCAACGCGCACGCTTGAACAATGCACCCAATGTAAACAATGCACTGCTAAGTCAACAATGTACACTAATGTAAACAATGCACGGCCAAGTCAACAATGTTCACTCAGTAAACAATGTACACCAAGTAAACAATGTACACCAAGTCAGCAACGTTCACTCAGTAAACAATGTACACCAAGTAAACAATGTACCTAAGTAAACAATGCACACCAATGTAAATAACACACGCCAATGTAAGCAATGCACGCCAATGTAAGTAATACACGCTGTCAGCCTTAACCTGATTTACGCCTTACCCATGCAAGCTAGCGTCAGCATCGTACCGTACATTCACTTGTACGGCTGCGCGTCAGCATCACACAGCGTAACTTCAGCACAGTCAGGGCCAGCGCCTTACACAGTGCGCGTCAGCATTACCCAAAACACAGAACGCGAGCAATACACGACCGTACTCTCCGCTGTCCACAGCACAACTCCTCCGCGCGATCACGTGAATAGCCCTCACGTGAACATGCATACGCCGCACAAACACAAATGCATGCACTAAACATATGGGCCTTAGGCAACCAATAGCGTACGCGCATTCAGCCACTGGGCTCTTATGCTCCGCCCAGTCACCAACACACAGTGAATTTACGTTAGTGCAATAGGGATGACGTTGTAAATAAACTAGCTATAAGTCCCTACACTTTCCGCTACATAGGCCCGAGCATGGTGGGGTATGGCCTCATACTCCATAACCATAATAAAAATAAAAGGAAAGTGTACCTAAACCTTAACTTCCTCTTTAACATTCAATATAAAACATAAGGTCTAACTTTTCCTTTAAAGTTCAATATAAAACATAAGATTTAACTTTTTCTTTAAAGTTCAAAAGAAAACATAAGATTTAACTTTTTCTTTATAACTCAATATAAAACATAAGAAGGGGGGCTGATTTCTGAGCTCATTAAATATTCACAAGATTCCTGTGCACAGTAAAAGCTACACAAGAACACCAAAATTTACCTCATTAAATATTCACAAAATTTCAGATGGTAAGATTATACAGAATCTGAATCGAATTTCGCTCATTAAATATGCACAAGAATTTTACAGACAATTTACACTGCATTTTTACACAAATTTAAAGGATTATCTAACTGTTAAATTTAGGCGATGCATTAAATGTTAAATTTACAAATTTACAAGATTTTGAAGATTATAAAAATGGAGGGATTTGGATTCAGTGATTTTTCCTAATTGACAATAAACATTTAATTTTAGTAAAAACTTTAACTCAACATTTTACGGTGAACTACTCGCTGGCTGTCTCCCATCGGACTAACCTCGTCCGCCTAGACTTGACCTGCTCGAAGTATCCCCTGTTGTGCTCGTCGGTGGCGACTCTGTTGCCATCCAGCCACATCTGGGTCGTGGTACCATCGTTCATCGGGTCTCCGTCCTAGTCCTCTTCATGGATGGGGTCGACTCCTTTAGTCGCGTCGCTGCTGCCTTGAAGCTCTGGGCAGGTTTGTCCCCTAGACGACCGGTTCTCCTGGCCTTGCTTTGCCGGTTTAACCATCTTCACGCCAAGCTTGACACAGACACTCGACTACCACAGGATGACGACATGCAGAACTCCTGAGCTCGAACCAAAAACATGAACATTTATACACAACTATTTACAGATTTTGCTGGGCATTTCAATGAAACGTCCAACGGTTCCATTGTCCATCATGGGCAATGGCCCGAGCAAGCCTTTTGCTACTCGTTATTTTGGGCACTCGAACTCGGTTCTGCTATGAGGGGCAACCCTTCTCTTAGCAGCCGATTTCCTTATGGCCCTACTGTGACCATTGGTCTTGCATGCTGCTGATGAGTGGGCGATTGTCTTCCACTCTGGTCGACTTTGACCCCCTTCTTTCAACCTTATGAGCCAACTCACGGTGTCATCCTGCAACTGTGCTTTTATTAAAGCATCTTGTGACAGGGTTGGTTGGGCAGCTACGCCCCTAACCAAGAACTCACTCCCTTGAGGTTTACCCTCGGGTACTTCACCAGTTGTCTCATATTCTTCATCACGGCCGCACTGTTTGCATGGCCATCTGGATATCCCATCAGCATTTCGAAGCTTATTTTTGCCTCTGTGCTCTTTGATCGACCCAGCATCACCAGTGCTTATGTGATGCCTGATCACGTCCGTGCGACCAATGTCATGGTCAACCTTGGACAATTCATCCTGGAAGTCTTTCGGACATTCCCGGACATCAACATTATACTTAGCCTCTACATTTGCTGTACCCCACTCAATTAAGTCTTGCAAACACGGGGCAACTCCTTCCGTGTTTGCCTTCGGGTTCAATTCATCATGAATTGGACTGGCCTCAATTTGGGAGACCACTCTCGCTGCTGTTCCCTCAAGGCCAACTCTTTTCTCCCTTCCGGGATGGACGACCTGCAGCGGAACAACATCGGCTTCAGTCTCAACCAGAGATCTGGCCAACCCCAAGCCTTTCTTGGCTTTGTCACCACCACCTTCCACCGGTTTTACCATGGCTGGCCCGAGCAAGTCGGGACCCTTCCGAGCAATTTTGCCGGGGACCACAGCTTCATGACCTGGTGGGGTTACCGTAGTTTTACAAACTACCACACGACCCAAAAAGGGCTCGCCTGCATCATTTGTGCACTTGATTCGCTCACCATTGAGCCTCCACTCCCTTAACTGGAAGTCTATGTTTCCACCTGTTGACATGAGAAAATCCATGCCCAGGATGCCACTGTATTTGATCTCAGCAAATACAACCTTCACTTGGTGCGTGGTCCTGCCAACTTGCACCTCAACCAGAGCCATGCCAAGCACAGCTAACTGGCTTCCGTCCACCTGTTTGACTTGGACATCTACCGTCTCCAAGACG